TGTGTGTGTGTGTGTGTGTGTGTGTGTGTGTGTGTGTGTGTGTGTGTGTGCGCAGGGGGAGAAGGACTGGCAGAAATATGAGACTGCTCGTCGGTTGAAGAAGTGTGTGGATCGCATCCGTACCCAGTATAGAGAGGACTGGAAGTCAAAAGAGATGAGGATCAGGCAGAGAGCGGTGGCTCTTTATTTCATAGACAAGGTGAAGAGAAATACAAAAAAACAACCTAGTTTATTACAAACACCATCTTATCTTTGTGATTCATCTGAAGCACTGGATGGAGAATGAAATCTACCATCATAGTAAAGCTAACCCTCAATGTTACAATGAAATGCTGGAATTTTAAATTCACTACATGTAGCGTCCAAAACCAGCAGCTGAGTTTAAACCTGCAACGCTCGTAGGTGAAAGCAAAAAAAAGGGGTTTATTTTATTCAATTTCCCTCAAACATGTTGGTTGAAAACAAAATCGTTTTCTTCCCAAAAATTCTGCGGTTTATCTCGACACGCTCTAGATAGTTGCAACGGTTAATGCACAACATAATCCACACAACACAGTCTGTGCGGCTCCGCTCTGCTCCCCTCAGGGGGGTCTCCTGGAAGAAGTAGAATATAATAATAGAGGTGCCGTGTGTGGGATTTGGCGCCATCTAGTGGTGAGGTGGCAGATCGCAACCAGGAACACATACTTATTAATAGTATATTCCTTTTCTGCCAATAGATCCCCATAAATGCGACACACTGTTCATTTAATAAGTATGTTTTCTTTAGTTTATAATCTCCTGAGAATTAGAATGGTTGTATTGTCGTTAGCTAAGAAAGAATAGTTTATATCGTTACAGATCCCGAACAAAAAGGGTTTATTTGAACCGAAACACGATCTTTTCCTAAAACCAACAAACAAATGTAAATTCAGCCACAAAGCCCTGAACACAAAACACTGCCATGTGTTTTCATGTTTTTGTTTAGCCTACTGTAGTTCTACATGTTTGGCACATGGGAGAAGTTTCAGTTGGTTGCAATCTACAACCTCACCACTAGATGTCGCCAGAATCCCACACACTTTAACCGAAAGGGCTTTTTACTGTCGGTAAGTTCAGAGAACAACTCCTGAGAAAACTCTCAAGTCTTGATAATACTCACGATGTGTGATCACGTTACTTCTGTAGCTTGCACTGAGGGCGGGTAACGAAAAGGAGGAAGGTGAGACGGCGGACACCGTCGGCTGCTGCTCGCTGCGGGTGGAGCACATCAAGCTGTACCCCAAGATGGACGACCAGGAGTATGTGGTGGAGTTTGACTTCTTGGGAAAGGACTCCATCCGCTACTACAACAAGATCCCCGTGGAGAAGAGGGTAAAAAGGAGAACTTAAAGCACTGTGGTTTAGGGTGGTATTTATGAGGGTGGTGTTGGGTGTGTATTCGACAGATATGTGAATAAAGTGTTAATGAGATAAGAAGTCGCCTCCCTGAGGAGGATGTTTGCACAGACAGGTGATCAGGCACTAAAAGCTTTCCGTCAGCGCTGCCTCGGGGTGGTCTGCTTCCTGCTGTTACCAGAGTACACACACACACACACACACACACACAGACATACACGACACATGTTCTGTTTTCAGTCACAAATTCTTCAACACGCCTGGGCACCGTCTGTTTGGCTACACTTCCTCTCTGCATCCCCACTCACCCAGAGAAGTTCATACAAGAGAGAAATGAACCTGGAATGAACCAGCTGCATGTGTCATCATGAACAGACATGATGTAGCGCCCCCATCTGGCAGACATGTGATTGTACACTCAACACTAAAGTGTTACATGTGAGTGATTTCATGAGTACAGATCTCCACCAGGTGTGTCTGCAATGACCACTGATGTAGTGACTGAATGAATACAACCCACAAAAACACACTTCATTCAAACGTAAAAAAACACAAACGTATAAGAAAACAGAACTAAACTCACCAAGATGGCTGCCGGCGTAGCAGCGATGTACTCAGCAGTGTGTTTACTGAATGAGAGTTTAGCCGTGGACGGACACAGAGATCACATGATCCTCCTTGTGGAGATAATAATGAATCCTTGCTGTTGTTCCGATCAGGTGTTTAAGAACCTCCAGCTGTTTCTGGAGAACAAGCAGCCTGAAGACGACCTCTTCGACAGACTGAATGTAAGAAACACACACACGTGAATATCTGCCTCCGAAGCTTCAGTCTTAAGTGAACTGTTTAAAGCTCTAGTTTTTTTTAACTACACCCTCTCATGCAGACTTCTATCCTGAATAAGCACCTTCAGGAGCTGATGGACGGCCTGACGGCGAAGGTCTTTCGCACCTACAACGCCTCCATCACCCTGCAGCAGCAGCTCAAGGAACTCGCCTGCCGTGAGTTACAGTAGCTTCACTTGAATGACTCTCAACACGGTTAAAACTCGCAATCGCTCTTTATAGTTTAGCACTATTTTTACACATGAAAAATGCTTGTTCTTGCACTTTTCATGAGCTGATAAGATTTGACACAATGTGCTGCATAATTCTCAATATATATACTGTATATATATATATATATATATATTCTTATTCTTTTTAAACTACCTGATGTTATCACATGTATGACAGACACATCAGCATGCATAAAAGTCAACACTAACAGAACAGTGAAGTCTATTCAATAAGTGTAGAATAGATTAAAGGAATCTGGTGTTATCAATAATCATGCTTAAATATACATTATAAATGGAAAGTATCTGTTTGTAGCTAATATCCGACAAGGACAGATAATACAGCAAATCTTGATCTTCTCCCACAAAGGCTTTGTGGTGAAATATTCAACATTGAACATAAACTAATGTATTGTAAAAATGTATTTTTTAAGAATAGACTTATTGTGCCTTTAAATGCATAATAACTGCAAAACTTGGGTGAGTTATTTCAAAAAATGTTAATAATTTTGAACTGCTTCTCCCACCTTGTTGTGTAATTGTTGGGTCTCCAGCTGAGGACAGCCTCCCAGCTAAAGTCCTGTCTTACAACCGGGCCAACCGGGCGGTGGCCATCCTCTGCAACCATCAGAGAGCTCCACCCAAAACATTTGAGAAGTCCATGCAGAACCTTCAGACCAAGGTAAAACCCTGTGCTCCAACTTCTCCTCGGTTTTGTTGTCTCCCCACAAGTGTTGTGGTTCAGGGTACGGTGTGAAGACATTCCCTCTCTAAGTGATGCAGGTTCTCTACTTCACTCACTTTGTTTGCTGTGATTGCAGATTGATGAGAAACAGAATCAGCTGTCTGCAGCCAGGAAGCAGCTGAAGGCTGCCAAGGCTGAACACAAGGCTTCCCATGACGACAAGAGCAAAAGGTAAGAAAGCCGGACCGGACCGCCGTCACAAAAGCAACAAAATGGAGCGTGGCCCTTGACGTAGTCCTGTCGTTGAATAGCGCTGGGAACTGGCTAACAGCCGTCACTAGGTGGAACGGAACAGGGTGAAACAAAAACATGATTGGTTGACGCTTCACTGGAGCGCTGAAAAAAGAAGTTGAGACTCTTTGAACTTTAATTTGTAGAGTGTCACACATGTCACACAGCAACAACAGACGTCAGTTTGTGTAGCATTAAAGCATGGTGGGATTAACGAACTAGCTAGCTGACTCGACAGCTGTTCCATAAATAAAATTCGACAACTTAATGCGTCATCTGCACACTCTTGTCCTAGTGTAGGAAAGCACATTGCTATCGCCATATGAGTGACAACTTTGTTCAGCTCATTTTCTATAACCAGTGTAGCAGTAAAGCATGGTGGGATTAGCAAGCTAGCTAAATAGTCAATCACAGTAAGCCCCGCCCTAAATCATCCCCTGCTTTATGGTCTGTGTGACTCTAAATGGACCATAATGTACTAAATGAACATCATGCTGTATTGAAGAAGACTTGAAACTAGAGATTGAGACCATAAACTCATGTTTACAATGTTTACTGAGGTAATAAATCAAGAGAGAAGTAGAGTCATTTTCTCATAGACTTCTATACAACCAGAGGAGTCGCCCCCTGGTGGACATCAGAGAGAATGCAGCTTTAACACATGAAGCTTTGGTTTCACTCTGCAGAACCGGAGGTCGCCGCCTGGTGTAAACATCGCATTAGTTTTATCTGTACCGACATCAACCTCATAATGTTTAGGACGTGTTTTTCACTCAATATAACTCTTCTTCTGTCTGTCGCTGCGTCTCCCAGGATTGTGGAGTTGAAGCGTAAAGCTGTCCAGAGGATAGAGGAGCAGCTGATGAAGCTCCAGGTTCAGGCCACCGACCGAGAGGAGAACAAGCAGATCGCTCTGGGCACCTCCAAGCTCAACTACCTGGATCCCCGGATCTCTGTCGCATGGTATTTATGTGGCACAGCGGAAGCCGTTTACCTCCGTTCATTCACTGCTAACTATTATTTGATTACAGGTGTTAGGGTGACATTAAACGAGTAAGCCGCCTACTGTTTAATAGGCCAGCTGTCTCTGGGGTGGGGGGTAGGGGGGGTGCACATCTACCTTGATGACAGAAAGGCAGGAAATGCTCTTGCATTGTAGGAAAAGGAGCAGCACAAGCGAAAAAAAAAAGAAAGAAAAAGCTAACGGCTGCAGAAGGAAAATAAGAGGAAGAAAAGCGTGTGAGCGCGAGGAACAATGGGGTTTGTTTCTGAAAAGCCAGGGAGCGTCCCCAAACAGCACTCCTTCCTCCATGTGGGAAGTCAATGAGGAGCTGTCTGTGGCTCAATGGAGGGGGCCACGCCACAGCCAAAAGGGGAGCAGTGCTCGGCCCTCCCTTTTTACTCGTGCCCCCGCGGCTATTTATGGATAGAGCCTCCTCCTCAAAGCACAATGGATTCAGGAATGCTCCGTGTTTTTTGCCCTGATTGTAAGAGTGTAAGGGATGGGGGGTCCCCGCTCGTAGGGCGGTGCATGGGAACCTACATGTACACTGCAGTGCTATGTGTGAATATGTGTGACAGGGATGAAAACATCGAGGTCCAATCGTGTTATTTCTGTCCTGCAGAGAACGGTTTCTGTTGTTAGCTGCTAGCGAGCTACTATTTATGTTAATATGGGACGAAGTCTATTACGTATATGCTATGCACTGTCATCATTATGTATTTGGGGAGTTTACTGTAGAATAATTTATTATATTTATTTAATTGATTGAATGAATACAACCCATTCGGCTATAAATAGTGATACTGATATCACTATTACTGATTACTGATTAAAACACTATTTACATGTCTTAAAAATCTACATTTGAGTAAATATTTTGCAGCCAAATCAAATTCTTTACAGGATATTAAACCTTAGTTTCTTTATAATACATTTAATACTTGACTTGTTTCTTTACAGTGCTTCTATAAAGGTAATAAAGTAGTGAATGAATATGAGATATGAGTTTATAGATAATTACAATCCCACCTGGTCATAGTGGAGGTTTATGGTGTTTTAAACCTACTGTCTATGTTCATGTCTCTGAGTTACACTCGTCGTCTTTTTGATTCCTCACAGCTCACGTTGTTTGTTCGTCCTCTGGTGTTTCAGAGAACAATGCAACGAACAGCGCAGAGAGTATAAACGCCTCCGTTCATGCTCGGAGCTCGCGTACTGTCTGCGGAGGCTAACGCGAGTTTAAACAAATCTTAAGGCGTCGTAAAAGACATTTCATTCAAATTCAAAAACAAGCGGTGAAGTCATCGTCGGGGTAAAAAACATTTCGTACAATCTTGTAGCCAAAAACCAAATTAAACTGCAGCGGCTGAGTGGTGGCGAGGTACTCAGCAGCGTGTGTACTGGTAGTTAGACTAATATAGCAATACATAGTGGACTCTTCCCCAGTTCAATAATAACAAGCAGGAACAAGCCATGCTCACTGATGATGTACCGACATTAAGAATGCACACAAAACAAATCGTTTGAGATTTTCTGTCACTTCTTCCTTGAACTTCCTGAATAGTGAACAGTGAATAGTGAGCAGATGAGTTGTTTTTTTTCGTCCCTCCTCTCCAGGTGCAAGAAATGGGTCGTTCCCATTGAGAAGATCTACAACAAGACCCAGAGGGAGAAGTTTGCCTGGGCGATAGACATGGCAGAGAAGGACTACGAGTTTTAAACACACTTTGACGTTTTATCTTTTCAAAACACGCCTTTGATTGTAGAGGTTTGTAGTCGATGTCAAATGATCCCACAGTGTGTGGTCACGGCACGACTGTTGGAGCTGTGACATCAGTATATATATATATATATATATATATATATATACAGGTATATATATGTGTGTATATATATATATATATATATATATGTGTATATATACACACATATGGATTGGCTGTGAATATAGGAACGAAGCTGCCAATGGGCGACTCTCTTAAAATAAATGACAGTAGTGTGTATGTAGCTGCGGCTATCTGCCCACCATTAAAACACCGATGAACACGTTAGTATTATCTTTAGTCACGACACGACTGTACTGAGATGTGTAAGCCATCAGACTTTGCTGAGACGTTCTATATTCTCATAGAATAATGAATTAATAAATGTTTGTACGGGGAGGCTGCGAGGAGCAACACGAGAGAGATAATAGGATGAATTTCAATTTGTGGAATTGTGTGAACGATTGGTACAATAAAATGACAGACTGGTGGCCGTGTGAAGTATAGAAAACCCCACTAGCACTAAGTTCATGTAATTATTAGCACACAGAATGTCATCTTTTTCATTTAGTTTGGTTTGCTGTTTTATTTCAGGGATGTACATATTTATTTGTCATTTTTAAGTAACTATGATTCAGCGTTTTATAAAGCAATGTGTGCTGTATGCATCGTCAACAAGAAGCTCTTCATTGCTTATATGCAACTCGTGTGTGTGTGTGTGTGTGTGTGTGTGTGTGTGTGTGTGTGTGTGTGTCCACAGATTTACAGTCGTAACAATCCTCTCGTGTTTTACTTGAAACAGCTCAAGTACGACATTGTGTTGTCGTGTTTTCGTGTTTTCGTGTACCGGAGCTGAGAGAGACTGTTCCTTCACATGGTTTTCTAAGAGGGACGTGGATTTAAAAACAGAAGGATCACAGAGGAGGTCCATCATTGTAGTGTTTGTATCGCTGTGAATAAGCAGAAAAGTGTGCTTCTTAAGGTTTTCCAAATGTGAATGGATATTATAACTTTTGTCATTAATATTTTGTGCTATTTGGTCATTTATCACACAACTCTGGATTGGTTGAATGCTTGTTGTTTTGAGCTTTGTAGTTTTCAGAATAAAACATCGATCTTTTCCTTTTTGTTTTTATTATGTGTGTAAAAAGGGATTAAATCAAGCCGATCCACTGAGTATACAAAGAGAAACACAATCCTGTCAGAGATGTAATCAACTGATCGGTCAGGTCAGAGGTCATAGTTCAATTACCAATAATCAAAAACAATTGATTTCCTGATATAGTTTCTATTGTCGTTGTTTTTGTTGACAGAAGAGACATTTGTCAATTATAAGAACAAAACTTCACCTTTTATTGGTAATTATAATAATAATACAGCTAATTATGAAGTACAGTATAAGGTCTGTCTCTTTAAGAGGCCGGTAACAGGCGCTCCTACTGGAGGCACAAGCTGCGTCAAGCTAACGAGAGAACCGCAGCATTACCGGAAGTAGGGGAATTATGCCAAAATAAATCAAATAAATGCATAAAGGTAAAGAATGGCGTATTTTAAAGGCCAATCCAAGGAATATATATATATATGTATGTATATCTACATATGTATGTAGATATACATATGTATATGTATGTATGTATATGTATGTGTGTATATATATATGTATGTGTGTATATACATATATGTGTGTATATATGTACATATATGTATATATATGTATGTATATATGTATGTATGTATATATGTATGTATATGTATATATATATATACATATATATATACATACACATATACATATATATGTATATATGTATATGTATATATATATATAGATATATAGATAGATATAGATATATAGATATATATATATATATCTATATATCTATATATATATATATAGATATATATATATATCTAGATAGATAGATATAGATATAGATAGATATATATAGATAGATATTGTTTCCATAATAAAAGTTATTGAGGGAAACATCAGATCATGAAAACACAAATCTTTCTAATAAATGAAGAAAGTTGTTTGTGGTCCTTTTGTTGTTCAGTCTACAATGAACATTTATTTAAACCAGATGTTGAATCATAAACGAATCAAATATAAAGCTTGAGTTTAATCTGTGATCTGTCTTCACTGTTTACATGTTGAACAAAATCTCATCAGTCCGATCGGCTGCAGCGTCCAATCACATGACAGATGAACAATGAGGGGGCGTGTCGGCCGTTAAAACACTTCCTGGAAGTCTGTTCTCGTGAGTCCTCCCTCATGGCTCCTCAAAGGTCCCTCCTCCCTCCTCGATCCTCGCTCCTCCGAGCTACATTAGAGACACATTCCCCTTTAAGCAGCAGAAAATGGAAATACTAACAAGTCAAGTGTCTCAAATTGTATTCTGGAGAGAGTTCTTGGTTTACTTCATATTCGTCCCCACCACCATCTGCGTCTCCTCCAAAAAAACAGTGCAACAAGTTCTTTGACTTCGAATTTTATTGTGAAAACCCGCAGCGGAAGTGTGTTTTTTTCTGACTCTGGCACACGATTGATGCTGATGGTGGTCGGCTGTGTGAAGGGGGGGGGGAGGGGGGAAGGGCCTACTCGAGCTGGAGCCGAGAGAGCGGACAAACTTGCGTAGTCTTCACCACGGTTGTCTCTGCCTGTCTCTCTCTCTCTATGGACGGCCAGAGGACAGGGGAGGAAACGGGGATCGTCGGGACCGGAGCGGTTTTCCAGGACCTAGCGATGATTTAATCACAGAGGAGGAGACAGAAACCCGGGGGTTTGTGGGGAAAAAAAGGGAGAAAGGGGAGCGCGAGAGGAGAGCCGTTGGAGCAGCAGCCGTTGGAGATGTGCGGTCGAGGCCGAGATTGCGGCGGTAGGTAACGAACAGCACAGCCGACGTGTTGTTGATTTTTCTTACCCCCCCTAGTTGAATCCTTCTCCGGACGTTAGGCAGAAAAGAGACGGAGAGAGAAAAGAGGCAGAGTATATCTACCGACACCTGAGCTTCATAGTCACCCCTTCTTTCTTCCTCAGGAGTTAAAACCAGCTCCTGATTCTTGCTTTTTTGGCCCAGCGACATGCTAACACACACATACACACACATTAACACACCGACACACGCACACACTCTCCTGTCCTTCGTTTTCCCAGTAACGTGACGCCTCTAAGTATCCACACTTAGTGGATGAAGGGCAGCAGGTTACAGGCCTGTTAACATCAGATTAAACTAGATTTAAAGGTAAAAACCTTCATCAACATGTCTTCTTCTTCTTCTTCTTCTTCTTCAGACGCTTTACGGCTGCAGCATCACTGCCCTGATAAATAATATCACAGTTTGTCCCATGTCCCACGGAGACACATCAATAGCTCCCATGAGATGCTGAAGTGTTTTATCTATTTGTGATTGATTATGATTATAATGGAGCATTCTGCATTATGTAGCATGTATAAGTACCACATTATGTTGGTATGTAATGTTGGTACATTTCATATGAAATCAGTCCATATTTCTGCAAGATATAATATTCAAACTTTTATGTCCATAAACAAAGCATACAATATTTTTTGCAATATTTAGTTACTTTTTAAATGTAACGACGGTGTTGTATTCCTTGTAGCGTTCAGGGATTCGTGTAACATGTTACTGTTGAAGTAAAACAAAGTCAAGTTTACTAAAAATAATTTTTGGTTGAATAAGAGTTCATAAATGGCTTTAATACGTCAACATATGGGTAGAGTAAATAAACAATATTTGAACAAAATGTGTTTAAAACAGGAAGATTAGAGCCGTTAATAGATTTCTTTGATGCTGAAGAAGAAACTATTTTGAACGTATCTGCATGAATCTCAACGTGTAGAACACATGGACGCACAGCGACGCACTAGAAGTTGCTGAGTTGTTGTTTCATGCCCCCCCCCGTAGGTATCCCTGTCTAGGCCTGCACTGAGCAGATTGTTCTGAGAGGAAACGGACAACAAACAGGGGAAGTGAACATGGCCGGGACCTCGAGCTTCTTTTCCAACGGGCCCGTCCCGTGGACGGACAACGACGCGGAGATGAACAACCTGTACCGGGACCTGGAGCTGGGGACGGTGCTCACGCTCTTCTACTCCAAGAAGTCCCAGCGGCCCGAGAGACGGACGTTTCAAGTCAAGCTGGAGACCAGGACTATTATCTGGACCCGGGGCACGGATAAGATCGAGGGAGAGAGTGAGTAGAGCGCAGTCGGTTCTGGTTGAAAGTGTGGTCAGCTCCCTGAATGCCAAATGACACGATGGTGTTGTGAGTTTGTTTAAGATTGAAGAAGTCAATCCTAAACACTTTCAGATCCTTAAGACGGTGTTAGTGAAACTACATATTAAGATATCATCCACTAAACGCGGTGACATCGGACGATATTTACATGCAAGAAAATCTACAGAAACAAGGATTAGTGACGTGGGAGTGAAAGGGAAACGGGTTAATGTTTCATTTTATTCAGATTAAAACACACTTTTTCTACATATTACTACAAAGGAAGTCCAGAGTCAATATTCCATCCGTTTCTTCAGCTCTGATGAGTTCCGTCTCGGTTTGTTCTGAGACTTTGAGGGGCATAAAAGCTTAATTATTTTGAATAAAACGTACGTAGTCTCGGTGGATATTCGGGAACTAGCGTTAGATACAATCCAGAGTGGACGACAGGAACAACGTGGCATTCCTGGATCTCTCTTGTTGCATTCTTTTTGTTGTAGTTTAGCAGGAAGCTGGAGATTCAGGTGAATGTTTTCCACAGACCGGCCTTCGGCGAGCCGGTGCGTGTGTCTGGTAGCAGGATGCCGTGTGCACAGCTGCACTCTGCTCCGGATGCAGCGAGAAGAGCGCACAGAAAACAAGAAGACGCTGTAGCTGTGTCTTTGTCTTTGTTGTGTTTCTGTATCAGACATGAGCTCACAGCTGACATCTGATGCTCCTGGTGAGGGGGAATTGTCCGAGACGCCTCATTAACGTACAGAAATAGAACACGAGGGCTTGGACGTGTTTTACTGGAAGCATGTGATTGTTTGGCCTCCTCGATGGCGGTGAGATGTCCATTATCTGGGCAAACAGCACTCTGCTTTGATGCTAAATGTAAAACCATGAGAAGCGTACATTTTCTTTTGGTGATCTTGCCTTTTAATATTGCTGTGTTCGGTGCACATGAAACACAAACGTGATGCGGGTCTGGGTAGAGGCAGCAGGATGTGGTCTCGATGAAGAAGACTGGCTCCATGTGTAACGGCATCATAAAGGTTTAGATGCTCCACATGAACAATCGGTCTCAAGTGAAACTCTGCGTTACGCTGCACGTTGAGTGAGAAGTGTGTTTCCATGCTGCAGAGACTTCACATGTAGTCAGAGTATCTTTACAAATCATCAAACACACAACTTTGTTACTGACAACAAGGCAACAGAATCATGAGTCAGCATCGTGTGTTCGACTGTGCTGCGTGAGACAGTTTTCTAGGTTTTTGTTTTATGAATGAGCTCATTGGAGCTGGATATAACAGCACCAACGTACTGATCACTTTATTGTGAGTTAAAGCTGCATTCTCTCTAGTGTCCACCAGGGGGCGACTCCTCTGGTTGTATAGAAGTCTATGAGAAAATGACTCTACTTCTCTCTTGATTTATTACCTCAGTAAACATTGTAAACATGAGTTTATGGTCTCAATCTCTAGTTTCAAGTCTTCTTCAACACAGCATGATGTTCATTTAGTACATTATGGTCCATTTAGAGTCACACAGACCATAAAGCAGGGGATGCTTTAGGGCGGGGCTACACAGTGATTGTCAGGTCTCTACGTCACTCCTCGTCTAGTTTGACTTGAAAGTTTTTTGTTAATTTGTGATGACGTTAGTCTCCAGAGTAGCCATTTTATTCTAAAACCTGATGTCACTGAATAAAATGACGTGTTGTGACCTCTGTGATATTTACAGCCTCATGAAACTTTACAACCACAAACTAGAGACTGAGAGCATTCAGAGGGTGTGCGGGTGCACTATGTTTATGAACTATAAAGAGGTTTCTGAGCAGTTAACACAACAGAAGGGCTCACCACCCAATCCCAGAAACATGATGTTCTTGCAGAAATCTCGGTTTCAGTGTATATGTTGGCTGATTTTAAAGGTATTGCGACACATACATGTTAGAATCGGTGTGATCTGTGACAGTTCGTCCACTCGAGAGTGCTGACGAGTGTTTTATTCTTCTATAAAATGTCCCGCTCAGGACATAAGTTCTAAGGACGGTGCAAACACACATCATAACTCTAATGCTTGATAGTTGTTCTGGCTTTAATCGGAGCTGAAGCATTCATTGAATCGATGAATTGATTTGTCGGTCGATAGCTCGGTCATTTTTAATAATCGTATCTTCTCAGTTGTGAGTATTTGCTGCGTTTCTGTGTTTCTTATGATTGTAAACTGAACATCTTTCTGTTTGTTTCACAACGAGACTTTTGAAACTGTGGCAGTGGGGTGAACGTTTGAACGTTCACCCCACTGCCAACCTCTCTGAAGACTAAATGACCATCTATAAGTCATCTATAAGGAGATGATCGTTAGCTGCACTGAGGTGTGTTTAAGTTCAGAGAATCTGCGTCGTTGCAGAATTAGTTCCCCGTTTATTAATATGTTAAATATCGTCGGCTGTTTCCTGGAAAACCTCTTTTAGAGGATGAACGAACCGAAACAATGAAGACAATCTTCACGTAGTTTCTGTCTCTTCAGTAAAGTCGATGTGGATGGAATCACCTGCACACGTCTGTCATCTCTCTGAGCGGCTTTTTCCACACACACGCACACACGCACACGCACACGCACACGCTGCTCTCTCTTCAGTCGCGTGTTTATGTGTGAGAAACGTATCAATGGATCGTTGGACTTCAGGAGGACACTTGTGGGAAAGGAGTGCGTTGTCACAGTGGAGCAGCCTCGGTGTCGCTGCGTGACGGTCCTCAGTCAGACGGGGAACGTCTCTGCTCGACGTGATCCAGCGTCGATCAGAGGAGCTGATATGGATCAGCTGATGTGTGAGGAACACGCTCACGCTCTTCTGCTGCACAGCAACTCTGAACAACTTCAACCGATGCAGCCGTCAGTCACAAAATACAGGAATATCTGGTTCTTATGTATTCTGTGGTTAAACTTGAAGTTCATGCTTTCGTCTGTAACATGTGTGAAAACAGTGAAAGGTGCGCGCTGTGTTTTCAAAAGGCCCAAAATGATTTATTTAAATACATTTTTTTTTGTCTGTCCAAAACCCCAAAACATTCAGTTTACAATCAGTTATAACAAGAGAAAAACAGCAAATCATCACATTTGAAAGGCTTTCACAAGTTTGTAATTTCTGCTTCTTATAGAAAAGGTTAATTTTCCTTCCTCTGCTTCACACCGCTGCTGTTGAGATGCATGCATCTGATTGGTCGTGTGATGAGCGTTCTGCTGCTCCGTCTGAAGCTCAAACTGTAGAGTAGTTCTAGAAGCTGGCGTCAAATGTTTAGTGTGTAATCTCGTTAACGTCTTCTCTGATCCGATAGTTACTGTTTGAATCAAGATTCAGACAATTTTAGACGTTTTAGTGGCAGCAAGTAATAATTGTTTTCATTACCGATTTATCCTTTTGATTATACTTTTGATCAATCAGTCGTTTAGTTTGTAGAATACGGTTTAAAATCTCCATCACAGCTCAACGTGACCTAAAGCCTGAAGCCCAAAAGGTTTTCATTTGAGTTATTTACATTAATGTAAAAAGCAGCAAATCCTCACATTTTAGGCACATAATACTGAGTAATACCAATATTCTACATGGCAGCATTAACATTTATCTTCTAGAACTCGTCTTCTTTCAGACTAGTGAATAGAAAACATTTATTTTACTTCTTTCTCTGTTTACGTCCGTAGATTTCTACTAAAATCACCAAAAGTTACCATTACATAATGCCACATTTACATATTTAAACATCACATTTCAGAAAACTTGTAACTCAAATAATAATCCTCTTAATGTGAGTAATGAACTGGTGAAGTTCATGTTGATATCTATGAGTTCATTATGTTTCCCTGTTCACCTGTAGAGTCTCCCGTTGGATGAAAGTGTTTTGTAGAAAAGCTCCTCAAAGTACAGCATCAATGAGTCAGATTCCTGTGATTGGATACGAGGTATTATTTGACGAGGTGAGAGGAGGGATAGAAAGAGGACGGATGGAGGAAGTGTGTGAGCGCGCAGCAGGATGCCTCCTCCCCTCTCCTCCCGGTAAGGTGACACCTCTGGCCATCGCTGTGTTTCCTGCATCTGTCTGAGGCTGCCTCCAAAATATTGTGACAAGAAGATCAACCTGTCGGAGCCGGACCTGAAGTCCGACTTCTCGACATGATGTACGATCAGAGAGCGCAGCGTGGTGACCGCTTCTTTTTAACTGTTTCTGTGTTCTTGCACTTGAGAACCAGAACACGCTCACCGATACGTGAGCACAGATGTGGTGTGTAGGCGACAAAAAAAAAAAAGCACAGGATGTGTGGTTCAGGGGCAGGAAGAGGTGTGTGTGTGTGTGTGTGTGCATGTGCACTGTAGGTCTTTAACTGCTGCTAATACAACACTAGCACAAACTATTGCTGTGAGACAGATTGGAGCTCAGTAGGCAGTGTTGTTGAGTCACGTATCACTTGTTATATTCCCCGTCTCGTGCCCTTTGTATAATATAACCGCTCCAAGTGTTGTTAAAGTCACACAGGTACACAAACACAACACATGCACCATGTGTTTAGCTCTCCGTCGTACAGACCCGACCCGTCCCACCACAGACCGGTCTCTGTCTCCCAGTCTGAGATTAGCAGTCGGTGGTTTTGGTTGATTTCAGTGGTGAAAGACAAATTAAGGTTCATTTGTGGGCAGTGAACTTCACCATCGTCTACATTTTTAATATCTATATCTCACGGTGTGTGTTGTCTTCAGCTGAAGTGTACTTGTGGTTCAGGCCTCAGCTCACTGTTTCATGTGGTCGGGGGGGTTTGTAGTACCTGCTGTGTGTTTGTCTCTCTGCTGGAAGGTTAAAGAAATCACATTTATTAAATCAAATTATGAAACACTTTCCACAAGCACTTGAGGCTAATGTAATGTTATTATTTACAGATTTAGAGGATATTTTGGGTTATTTTTGCTAAATTCTGTCACCCAAATAAATGTTTCTAATTGTGACAAAAGTCTGATTAAAGCATCATTATTATTATTCTGTGTATTGAACTTTAGATTAGTTTTTACGTTGGATTTTGCATACTGGGTCATAAAGTCCTACTGTTGTGATTTTTAATTAAATCCACATTAACCAGCGACAGTCTGGACGTGCAATGAAATGTGTTTGTCTAACTTGTCCTGTCTCTGTGTGTGTGTGTGTGTGTGTGTCTGTGTGTGTGTCTGTGTGTCTGTCTCCAGTTGACATCCGTGAGATCAAAGAGATCCGTCCTGGACAGAAGTCACGTGACTTCGAGCGTTACGTGGAGGACTCGGCGACGAGGCTGGAGCAGGCTCACTGCTTCGTCATCCTGTACGGCACCGAGTTTCGCCTCAAGTCCCTGAGCCTGGCAGGTAACCGCAGACACGTTCGGATACAAGGAGTGACGGTTGTTCTTCACGTGTACATATATGACAGTAAATTACATATATTAAGCTTGGCCATTCCTTCACTATTATTTAACATCTCGTAACATCACCACGTGTCCTTCAGACCACTGATACAAAAACCCCAAAACAGAGAGACAACATCTGTGTTGTGTTGGTTCCTCCTCAGCTACGTCGGATGAGGAGATGACCATGTGGGTGAAAGGGTTGAACTCTCTGGTGGTCGACACACTGAAGTCTCCGACGCCGCTCCAGATAGAGAGGTAAACATTACATCATCACAATGATACGTTTTAAAAGCAGAACATCTCTTAACTCTCTCTTTTATTCGATCAGGTGGTTGCGTAAGCAGTTCTACGCCGTTGATCGCAACAGAGAAGACCGGTGAGTTCCTGACATCAGCCTCACAGGAAGTCCTGTCATTCTGTTGTTTTGGGTGCACCAGTTTGTGTAACATCCAGGCTGGTAGAGAGCTCTGGTGGAGGTGTAGCGGAGGAACTAACCTCTCAGGCACACGCACACACTCACACACACACACACACACACACACAACCACACCAGCACTCGCACACAACCACACCAGCACTCACACATGCACACAACCACACCAGCACTCACACACGCACACAACCACACCAGCACTCACACACACACACACAACCACACCAGCACTCACACACACACACACCAGCACTCACACACACACACACACACACACACACACACACACAACCACACCAGCACTCACACACACACACACCAGCACTCACACACACACACAACCACACCAGCACTCACACACACACACACCAGCACCCTCTTCCTGCAGCAGGAAACAGACTGCAGAGGATGGAGGAGACGTACAGCGATGTTTGTCTGTGACATCCAGAGAGAGACGGAGAGAGAGAGGATGAGACAGACAGACAGACACTTACGCTGTGTTGTAACAAAGAGCTCACGTGTGGGCGACTGTGGCTCAGTGGATAGCAGGGCCGTCTTTCAATCAGAGGGTCGGTGGTTCAAGCTCCGGCTCTGCTAGTCGCATGTCGATGTGTCCTTGAGCAAGACACTTAACCCCAAAAATTGCTCCCGGTGTATAATGTGATAGACTCTGAATTGTAAGTCGCTTTGGATAAAAGCGTCTGCTAAATGACTGTAATGTGTGTTTGAGAGGTTTTTGTAGGTTGTATGTTAAGATTATTAAAAACTCACCAGAACTGTGTTTATTAGAAGCTTTTATTCACGTTTGAATGTGTTGAATGTGTTTTAGGATATCCTGCAAGGATCTGAAGAGCATGCTGAGCCAGGTCAACTACAGGGTGCCCAACATGAGGTTCCTCCGAGAGAAACTTCCGGTAAACCACCTCCGACTCATCACACAACCCCACCCCACACACACACACACACACACACACACACACACACACGAGGAGAGCTAACGTCTGTGATTGTCTTATAGGACTCAGAGTTGAGGAACGGAGACGTGTCCTTCAGCCAGTTCGCTCAGCTCTACCGCAGCCTCATGTTTGATGCTCAGAAAAACGTAAGTGCAAATCATTTTTCGTGTATCCCAGCACTCTCACCCCCCCCCCCCCCCCCCCCCCCCGTCTGATGCCCGGCCAAAGAACCCTTCCTCCCCCATCTGTCTGTTCTCAAATGGCTGCCAGATCAATATGGACCAGTTAAAAACCCACCAAACCCCCCTGGTGGAGGCCATTAGGACACACTCACGTGGATGAGGAGGCCGGCCGGCTGCCTGGGGTCGGATTAAATGAATGACCTCAGTGCCCCCCCCCCCCCCCCCCCCACAGGATGTCTATCTACATCACTGCCACTATACAAACTGAAAGGACAGCGCTTTCATTAAGTAACTCAAATGTTTCCCTTTCTTTCAGATGGAGATCCCGTTAATTCAGAGGTACGTTAAACACAACACACACACACACACACACACACACACACGCACACACACACAGTGAATCTCTCTGCAGTCAGTTTTACACACAACCTTTCACCCAAAACAAACTATTTCCAGGGAAAATGTGAACGTTCGAGGCATAAATCAAAGGACAAAATAAAGATACCGCTACAGAAAGACGTACATTCTCACTCCCCAAGAGTCTAGAATCCGTCTCAACGTAATAGAATGACTTTGAAAACGCCAAATTATCTGCTTTAACAAATTGCGTTTGCTTATAAAATGACGAGATCACAAGTGTAACCCAGAGATTCGCTGATAGACTGTCGGTGTGACCGGCAACACACCATAAAGCAACCTCCACAATGACGCGGAGGGATTCAACTCTCTCTGAACTCATATTCATGGACCACTTTATTACCTTTGTGCAAGTGTTAAAGTATTAAATGTATTATGAAGAGACAACGGTTGAATGCATTTTATTTAACCAGACACATTCTTCTTTACAATGACACCGTTCTTTTGTCTTAATAATAATTAATAGCATCAAACGATACACTCGGTTTATGCTTATTTCTGCTCGTTGCATTACGTGTTGCTCGTAATATTCACAATGTGTTTTAACTGGAGCTGGAGTTGCACTTTAAAAAGAAATCCCTCCTCTGTGTGCGTCACACATGTGTTTACTGAGATGAAACGTTACTTTCAGGTTCATTGACAGACCAGAACAGAAGATCTCCCTCGACGACTTCAAGGGCTTCCTCCTGGAGTCCCAGCAGGTAATACCTCCGGCTCTCTGGACAGATATTCTGCTGCACATCTGGTTCATTCTCACAACCTCACACACATCTGTGTCTGTATGCAAATCCAGGAGTTGTGGGCCGCCGACAACGACAAAGTTCAGGAGTTTATGTTCGGGTACCTGAAAGACCCGCTGAGAGAAGTGGAGCAGCCTTATTTCCACCAGGACGAGGTACTCTCTCGCTCTCTTTTTCTGGGTCTTTTGCTCACCAATGGAAAAAGACAAAGGTGTTGTTTTCCGATGTGCCCCCCCGTGTTGTTGGCGTGGGTGGCAGATGCTCGGATATTGACCTGGATAGCCGAGATCTGGGCCTGAAGCGCCTCCTCCCACACGGAGAGGAAAGGTTGCTCTTTGCTCTTTGTGGTCGCCATGAAGCTGCGGTTCACTGCAGAGAAGAGGAAGCTGGTGCCCTAGGTTATATATATTGTGTGAGAGAAGCATTGGTCACACTGAGAGTAACACCTGAAGAAGAAAAACAGTTCGTAAGAGGAATATTATTTTATTGTTGACCCACTTTGGGAAGTCTGTTAAAGGGCAGAGTTCAGGGTGAAGTATGAAGCCGAGCTTCCGGGGATCCAGTCCTGCATGTGTCCACCAGACACCTGATATCTTATCATATGGTTCTCCTGGTATTTAGCACTTGCATGTGTAAAATTGTTTGCGATCTCTGCTGTGATATCTTGTTATAGTTCAGGTGGATTCATGTGATGTTGAAGTCAAGACCACCTGCACCGAGACCAGAGTGAATCGAGACTAACATAAGACCAGACCAGTCTGAGTCCCACACTACATGATGATAAAATGTGGAACATGTAAAAATAACCCCTCCCCAAATTGATCTGAAAGATCCACATAATCCATAAAAACACGCACAGAATGCTGGGAGTTCATTAGACTCTGTGAACGTGTGCAGGAGTTGAATTCATCAAAATCAATGTTCCTTATTTCTCAGAATGTTTCTACACTTAATCTCCCGTATGAGTGTAATAATAAAAAGGTGTGGCAGAGGGGGGTTTATGTGGGGGAATTTTTCCATGAGCCGTCACAGTCATGACGTTAATAAATGTTAATAAAAAGGAATATAAATAAGTCAGACGATGCACGGGCCAGTTTAGTGACAGAATGATTCATTAAGAACATGTTTGGTGCAGAAACAGACTTGATGGTCTGCGTAGTCCAAGGCTGGACCAGGTCCTGGCTCAAGATCACTCATAACATTAAGTCTTTAGTCCAAGCGGACTCTCTGGAAGTCTGAAGACGGTTTGCTCGAGGCTTTTGCAGACTTGATGAATTGTGGATTTGGAGAGACTTCCTCTGCGAGTGAGGGACGGTCCAGACATTTCATTCATTCATTCAGCTCTCCTCCCTCCTGTTGCAGTACCTGACGTACCTGTTCTCCAAAGAGAACACCGTCTGGGAATCCTCCCTGGACCAGGTGTGTCCTGACAACATGAGCAACCCTCTGTCCCACTACTGGATCTCCTCTTCGCACAACACGTAAGGACCGAAGCCTTCACACACACATTTACAGTTCAGCCGCTTGTGACGAGGGCTCTGTGAACACTGGAGTCCTCTAACCAGAGAGGGCTTCTAGACTGACTGCACACATCAGATACAAGTCTATTATTTAACAATCAAGTTCCAGAATGAGACCCAGGTGTGTTTGGTTTGTTTCCTTAGCAGGAAAATGTATTTTTCCTCCCATTGAAATGTGTGTGAAAGGCAGTTCAGATGAGAATCCGTGTGTACTGGATGTGAACCAATACTCAGTGGAGCAGCGTTTGAAGTGACCGACTGAATGAGTAACAAGTGTTTCCTCCAGTCGACAAAAGGAGAGTCTTTCTGATACAGCAGGTGTGTGTGTGTGTGTGTGTGCGTGTGTGTGTGCGTGCGTGTGTGTCTGCGTGTGTGTGTGTGTGTGAATCCTTTTGTAAAATTGGTTGGATGAGAGTGTGTTTGTGTGCGTGCTTTGATGTTATGTGCTTATTTTTAGCTACCTGACGGGAGACCAGTTTTCCAGCGAGTCGTCTCTGGAGGCGTACGCTCGCTGTCTGAGGATGGGCTGCCGCTGTATCGAACGTGGGTAAACGCACACACAGACAGACAGACAGACAGATGCTGCAGTTTTTACCATGTACAGTAAATAACCAACAATTGACTTCTCAACCTTGTAATTAAGTCTTATGCTCGCTTCTTATCCCTCTACAGTTGTATTTTTAATGCAGCCACCACACCCTTACCCACACACACACACCCTTACCCACACACACACACCCTTACCCACACACACACACACCCTTACCCCCACACACACACACCCTTACCCCCACACACACACCCTTACCTACACACACACACTCGCTGTTACATAACAGTGCTGTATATGGCCTTTACACAAAACCCTTGTCAAGCAGGTTTCCATGAATAGGACTGGCTTCTAGCGGGTGAAAGGGTCACTCTGCATGACACACGAGTCAACAATTATGATGTCAGCTTGTGCGTCTTTGAGCTAAATGGTGTTAAAGCTCCTCTGGAGCTTTGTAACTCCACCTACCTTGTGTGTGTGTGTGTGTGTGTGTGTGTGTGTACAGTGGACTGCTGGGATGGTCCAGACGGAATGCCAGTCATCTACCACGGACACACCCTCACGACCAAAATCAAGTTTTGCGACGTGTTGACCACCATCAAAGAGCACGCCTTCGTCACCTCCGAGTGAGTCTGCACGAGCTCAACACGTTTCTTTGATCACAGTGATTAGACTGAGAGATGACGGAGATAAGGAAACGGCACTTTGAAACACAAATATCAGAGGAAACAATGTGGACCGTGACGTGGTTGCAGCGTGTTATTGTTGTGTGTGAGAAGGTAAGAGCAGGATTTCTGTGGATGTCCTCCTGCAGATATCCCATCATCCTGTCCATCGAGGACCACTGTAGTATTGTGCAGCAAAGGAACATGGCCACTTACTTTAAGAAGGTGTTTGGAGACATGCTGCTCACCAAGGCGGTGGACATCGCGGCGGACGGCCTGCCGTCGCCCAACCAGCTCAAGAAGAAGATCCTCATCAAGGTCAGCGGCCACGACGAGATCTTTTTGTGCACATTATCTGTTATAAAGGAAAAGTCTGAATGGATGCTTTGTAAACGTTTGTCGTCATCTCCTCCTTCTTCTTCTGCAGCATAAGAAGCTCGCAGAAGGCAGCGCCTACGAGGAGGTATCCACCTCCACTCCCTACTCGGAGAACGATATCAGCAACTCCATCAAAAACGGCATCCTGTACCTGGAAGACCCCATTAATCATGTAAGTGTGTGTGCTGCATCAGCGCTGACGCTCAGCTTGAAATATGAGAACACGAGTCTGCTTTGTTTGTGTTGTCACGATTAATAAGCGTGAGGATCTCTAGCAAAGACACGGCATTGTGTTCTGGCTTGATGCTCGTTTCTTTTTCTTTTCTTTAACATTCATTTTGTATTTGTGTCCCGCTTGTTTTTGGCTTCATGAACTTCTTTTCTTGGTCTTTTAGATGATTACATTCTTCATTAAGAGGGCAGCTTCTTGCCTACTTGGCCACTTTCCAGTGCGACACATGGATGCTCTAAATATTTCAGCTAACCGTTCATCCTCTCTCTCTCCTTCTCTCCCCCCCCCCCATAGGAGTGGTACTCTCATTTCTTTGTCCTGACCAGCAGTAAGATCTACTACTCGGAGGAGACCTCCAGTAACCAGGGAAATGATGATGAGGAGGAGCACCGAGAGGTTAGTCGGCCTGATCTGCTGCTGATATACGTAGAGATGAGAATCACAACAGGATCCGTGCAGCACCAGACATGGCACTTAATCTACATACAGTAAGAGTTATACGAAGTAAGGGCTGTAACCATGCATAGAATTCAACAGTACAGTAGGGAAAACAAAGAATAACTTTTTTTTCGATAATTCTAAACATTCAACAGTTGCTCATTAGCCACGATCCTTTTTTCAACAGTTAAGACGCTCTGTTATGTTATGTTATGTTATGTAACCCGGTTCTCCCACTGGAAACCACATTCCTAACGCCGGATAATCTGCAACTTACAACACAGTAGTATTGGCCAGTACTAGCCAATCACAGCATAGTAGGGCGGGACTAGCTGTGACTCGATGCGGCTAGCAGCAACTGGTGCGCTGCCAAAACGTTTCAGGTACAAATTCCTGCTCCACAATTTCTGTTTCGCATGTTTAAGTAGCAGACATAAACAGCTGTTTGGGTCACAGGGTTTACTGACCCAAACGCCATGTACCGAACAATACAAGTACATGCACCGTTACACCCCTAAGAAATGCAGTATTTACATGGAGAGGTTGTGGGCAGTTTGGGTTTTTAATACACAAAGACCTGTACCAGGATCAGACCCAGGAAGTGGTCAGCGAGGGAGCAACTTCAGGCTGGTGCTGTTAAACGGACTGACTTCTCCCTCTCCTCTTTGACCTTCCAGGTGTCCAACGGTATGGACCAGCACGTGACCGAGAAGTGGTTCCACGGGAAGCTGGGCGCCGGGCGAGACGGGCGGCAGATAGCCGAGAGGCTGCTGTCGGAGTACTGCCTGGAGACCGGAGCTCCAGACGGGTCCTTCCTGGTCCGAGAGAGCGAGACCTTTGTGGGAGACTACACGCTGTCCTTCTGGTATAATGCACATGATCACAGGAACATGTTATTGTTTCATGATGATTGTCAGTCTGCAGCCTCATCTCTGGCATACTGTGTGTTCTGTCGTGCAGAACTCAGTGACACGCCCACAGATCAATAGATGGATTAAATGGGTTGTTGTCACGGTCTGAGGTGTGACGCTAATGCGAAGCCTCTATGTGAAGTGGAGTTAAGATCAAAGCTAATCAATCTGCATGTATGTGATGTACTCACGATGGAAGGAAGCAGTGCTCAGACACACAGAGGCAGTATGTTCGAGGTTAGCAAGGAGGATGTTTGTTTGTTTTCTCTGCACCAGGCGTTCGGGTCGAGTGCAACACTGTCGCATCCACTCTCGCCAGGAGGCGGGAAGCCCCAAGTTCTACCTGACCGACAACCTGGTGTTCGACACGCTCTTCGCCCTGATCAACCACTACCAGCAGGTGGCGCTGCGCTGCAACGAGTTTGAGATGAAGCTGACCGAGCCGGTGCCTCAGACCAATGCTCACGAGAGCAAAGAGTGAGTCCCTGACTCTGAATGACATTTTATAACTGCAGTGAACAGTGTAGGAGATTAGCCGTCGACCCTCATCTACAACGAGCGAGAGGCGTGAAGTGAAACGTCTCTAATTATCTAAAAACTATCTGTTCGTCCCAGGTGGTACCATGCCAACCTCTCCAGGAGCCATGCAGAAAACATGCTGATGAGGGTTCCACGTGACGGGGCTTTCCTGGTGAGGAAGAGGACGGAAGCCAATTCGTTTGCCATTTCCTTCAGGTAACTTCCTACGATCCTTATTCCCTTATCAAGTGGTACTGGTTTATATCCCAAATCATCCCCTGCTTTATGGTCTGTTTGACTCTAAATGGACCATAATGTACTAAATGAACATCATGCTGTATTGAAGAAGACTTGAAACTAGAGATTGAGACCATAAACTCATGTTTACAATGTTTACTGAGGTAATAAATCAAGAGAGAAGTAGAGTCATTTTCTCATAGACTTCTATACAACCAGAGGAGTCGCCCCCTGGTGGTCATTAGGGAGAATGCAGCTTTGAGACACTGACCATTGGCTTCACTCGGCAGATCAGCAGCCTATTTTTTATATTGCACGGCTCCTTACTTCCTAACTTTTTTCTTGTCTGAAACAAATAGAAACAACTGCATGCTATAAATCCTTAAAAAACATTCACAGTTAACTCTCTAAAGTGATGCCAAACTGAATGTGAAGTCGGTTAATATGTGTTGTTTGTTTGCAGGGCGGAGGGAAAGATAAAGCACTGTCGCGTGCAGCAGGAGGGTCAGAACGTGGTGCTGGGCACCTCGGAGTTCGACAGCCTCGTGGATCTCATCAGCTACTACGAGAAGCACCCGCTGTACCGCAAGATGAAGCTGCGCTATCCCATCAACGAGGACACGCTGGAGAAGATAGGCACTGCGGTGAGTACCAACAAAAGTCTGCAGCCTGCATTGCGTTGTGAAAAAGAAAACCGCCTGCAGCCTCGTGAAAGGGCTCGTTAACACACAACCTGTCGTCCAATAGGAGCCCGACTACGGGTCGCTGTACGAGGGCAGGAACCCAGGCTTCTACGTGGAGGCCAACCAAATGCCAACGTTTAAGGTGAGCGTCCAGAATGGAGGTGTGTGTGTGTGTGTGTGTGACAGTGTGTGTGACAGAGTGTGTGTGACGACCTTCTGTCTTGTCTGTTCAGTGCACAGTGAGAGCCATGTACGAGTACAAAGCCCAGAGAGACGATGAGCTCTCCTTCATCAAGAATGCCGTCATCTCTAATGTGGACAAACAGGAAGGAGGATGGTGAGTGACTCCAGTACAGACTTTATTAGCTCTTTATTATCCAGAGAGACGGATCGTCTGTTCACTTGAATTATACATGATGGGTGAAGTATCCATTTGTTATATCAACCCAGTGTATATTTGACATCATTTTAAAGCCGTCGTGTTTCTGTTCTTCATCTTCTCCATGTTTGTTTGTGTGTCTCAGGTGGAAGGGAGACTGTGGAGGGAAGAAGCAGCTGTGGTTTCCTGCTAACTACGTGGAGGAGATCAGCCCGTCAGCGGCGGAGCCCGATAGAACTGTGAGGATATTTAAAGTGACCTGCACACCCTCCACGGGACGGTTGGGTCCCATCACTCGTCTGTCAATCACACGCTGTGATGGAGACGCTTAACTTGTGTGGATGACGGCTTTAGAACTTCTACTCCTAACCCTCCTCGTCTCTTGTCACGCAGGAGATGACAGAAAACAGCCCGCTGGGAGATCTGCTGAGAGGAAGCGTGGAAGTGTCTTCCTGTCAGATCGGTGAGAGGCCCCTCCCACTTCCTGTTCCACTCTGTGCTGCAGAGCAGGCCGTCACCTCCTTTTCCTCATCTGCATGCACATAATATATCTGCCCTCTTTCCCCACTTTCTCTATAATCCTTGTTGTCCATTATCAGCCTCTTCTATTATTCATTCTGTGGGTTTATCGTGACTCCTGCTTTTCTCACAGCTCGGTAGCTGATATTTTATTGACGTCCTCCAGCTCAGTCAATACTCGCCCATTAGTGTTGGCACATGCTGTCATGCATTGTTGTGGCCTCTGCTGTCCACAGTAAACACCTGAGCATGTCTCTCTCTTAGCTCTTTGGCTCCATCTAGTGGTCGTATGGAGGAAGATCCAATTAGATCTTGAACACTTTATTCCTCCATATGACCACTGGCAGCAGAGCAAGACATAGTTTTTCTATAGATGACGCTGAACCTTGAGGCAGGGCTGCTGTTTGTGTATCGCAATACTCTTTCTCCCGTATTATTTAGTATGTCCCAATATATCGTAAGTTCACGGTGCAATGATGGCGCAGCAATTTATACAGTAGGAAACCTCTTTGTCCTCCTCATTTCCCTCTAACGCTTTTCTTTATTCCGCGTTCAGTTGTGCGTCCTGACGGGAAGGGCAGCCGGCCTCACGTCTTCTCCCTGGTGCCGAACGCCTCCATGAGGACGGGCCCGGTGCTGGACGTCGCCGCCAGCAGCCAGGAAGAGCTCAAGGAATGGGTGTTCAAGATCCGCGAGGTCACAATGACATCAGAGGCCAAGGTGAATATGGATATCACACAGCGGCCGACGGGCCTCGGACTCATTCTGCGCTCGTGCCACATCGTGGGTTCAAAGAGCCAGTTGTGACTTGTGTTGGCCCCTTTAATACCCAGAACCTGTATTTAGGAAGCACGTGTGGTGTTAGTCAGGAGTGCCTTTCTGCAGACTCACACAGTGACACAGTGCTGTGATGCGGGAGGAAGAAGCTTCAGGCGAATGTTGTTTTGCATGAGTGATGTGAGGTCGTGTGTGCTCCCGATGGAGCTGCTGTATTTGAAACACACTGTGCCCTCTGTGCCCAGCTGGAGGAAGGGAAGATGATGGAGAGGAGGAAGAAGATTGCACTGGAATTGTCCGACCTGGTCATCTACTGTAGGCCGGTGCCGTTTGATGAAGACAGTAAGGACCACGCACTCTTATTGGACAGTGAACGTGCAGTTTGAGATGTTCCTCATTTCATACCTATGACATGATACAAATATGCAGAAGTCCAATATCAATACAGGACACGTCTGTCTTCTCTCTTTGTCCCGCAGAGATCGGCACAGAGCGGGCCTGTTTCCGGGACATGTCGTCCTTCCCCGAGACCAAGGCGGAGAAGTACGTCAACAAGATCAAGGGGAAGAAGTTCCTGCAGTACAACCGGCTGCAGCTGTCCAGGATCTACCCGAGAGGCCAGAGACTTGACTCGTCCAACTACGACCCTCTGCCCATGTGGCTCTGTGGGTCACAGCTGGTGGCGCTCAACTTCCAGACAGCAGGTGTGTACCTTTCACCTCAGGGCAGATTAAGAACAATCGTAGGAAGAGAAAAAGAAAGCAAACATATTCTAACACTTTCTTTTTTTACTTTTCCCTCGTGCAGACAAGCCCATGCAAATGAACCAGGCTCTGTTCATGCTGAACGGAAGGAGCGGCTACGTCCTCCAGCCGCCCATCATGAGGGACGACAGCTTTGATCCCTTCGACCGACACACGCTACAAGGCCTCGAACAAGTCACTCTAGAGATAGAGGTACAGCGGAGAGAGAGAGGGCCGTGTGCAGAGGGTTTATAACTGTGGGTTGCTCCTCCCCAGGGTGGGGGGGTGAAGAGACGTGAGGCAAAGAAGTCTATGAGAAAATGACTCTACTTCTCTCTTGATTTATTACCTCAGTAAACATTGTAAACATGAGTTTATGGTCTCAATCTCTAGTTTCAAGTCTTCTTCAATACAGCATGATGTTCATTTAGTACATTATGGTCCATTTAGAGTCAAACAGACCATAAAGCAGGGGATGCTTTAGGGCGGGGCTACACAGTGATTGACAGGTCTCTATGTCACTCCTCCTCAGTCCAGATATGGTCACTTCTGTTTATTAGCTTATTAGAAAATAACAATAAAAGGAGTTCCAGCGTGCTGGAGGGCCCACAGTGTCAGACTTTGACGGACCCCCCCCCCCCCCCCCCCCCCCGCCTCAGTGGTTGTGTTTATGTGTGGGAACCAGTGACGTGAGCAGATCTAAAGTAGTAACCTGCGTTCGCTCCTCTCACTCTGAAGGTTTTGGGCGCCCGACACCTCCCCAAACACGGACGCGGCATCGTGTGTCCTCTGATCGAGATCGAGGTGTGCGGGGCGGATTACGACAGCGCCAAGCAGAAGACCGACTCGGAAGGTGAGCGCCGCTCTACAGCGTCATTTCCTGTCTGGATCCAGAAAAACAGGAAGTTGTGGAAACAACTAAGCCATGTGTGGGAATACAGGTCTCAGCCAAAGAAGAAACATTACAATACCACAACAATAGTTTATTATACTATAGATTTACTTACACCGTTATGTTCTCACTCTCTTAAAATACAACGGAAGTTTATTTTGAAAAGTCTGGATATGTGTGATGAGTGGAACTGACTTTTGTAGGAAAACTCATGAACAATGAGGAGTAACTTTTCGTGAGATATACGTTATACGTACATTGTACGAGGAAACGTTGATGAACCACAGCGCATTATTTTATCTATGAACTCTGTATGAGACAGTCTGAACACAGCGATGCATTATCAGTTCAGATGCCATTGTTGGAGACGCATTGTTCACTTCCTCTCACTTCTCTCCGTCCTCTCCAGCCGATAACGGTCTGAACCCCACGTGGCCCCGGAAGGCGTTCCAGTTCGCGGTCTGCAACCCGGCCTTCGCCTACCTGCGCTTTGTGGTTTACGAGATCGACATGTTCAATGACCAGAACTTCCTGGCTCAGGCCACGTTCCCCATTCACAGCCTGAAGACAGGTACGCCCATCGACGTGCTCTCTGGGGACCACCTGAAGGCGTCCTGCTGTGAGTCGGTGCTGTAGTAAATAATAACGTCTCTGTGTGACTGCAGGGTACCGGTCGGTTCCTCTCAAGAACAGCTACAATGAGGATCTGGAGTTGGCCTCTCTGTTGGTCCACATGGACCTCATCAGAGGCAGGGTGAGCAGAAACATAAACACAAACACAAGCTGATGAGATACAGTAGCTGGGGTCCTCACTCATATTCATCAAGGTGTCTTACGCATTTAACACCTGAGATATAATCTGTTCATTTTAGAGGTGTTGGTAGGTAGTAGCCATGCTAGCTGTTTCCCTCTGTTTCCAGTCTTTATGCTAAGCTAAGCTAAGCAGCTTTATGTTTTACTGTACTGACATAAGAGTGGTATCAATGTTCTCAATGAACGCTTTGCATGAAAGTGTATTTTCACACAATGTAAAGCAAGTTATTGTCTTTATAGTCTGTGTGTTTAAATGATATTAAGGGGAGGCGCTACAGGTGAACAGAGCCGCAGCGTTGACTCTCTGTTTGTGGCTCTTCTCTCAGGATGAGAACGGAGAGGTTCTGAGTCCGTTCCTCCCGGTTGGCTCCACGGTGTCGGCGGCGGTGGTGGCGTCCACCCAAGCGGGTCGGGACCGTTTGGGGGACTTGAGCTCGGTGTCCTCGGCATCCTCCGTCGCGTCCCCCGTGGTGCCCCCGGCGCCGGCCCAGGCCGTGGCCTTCGGGGGTCGAGAGGCCTCCTTCGAGTCTCGCTACCAGTCCCCTCTGGAGGACTTCAGGGTGTCCCAGGAGGCCCTGTTGGACCACATGGACCCGCAGAACAGACAGACCAGGTAAATGTGTGTGACGGTGTGTGTTTGGCTCGTGTGCGGTGAAGTTGTTGGTGGAAGATTCCAGACTTCTGTCTTTGTCTGCAGGATGTTGCGGAGGACCAGAGTGGGCGGAGAGAACCATTTCTAAGTCCAAGCCAATCAGGACGCGTTAAACACCCCCCCCCCCCCCCCCCCCCCCCCCCCCCCCCCCCCCCCCCCCCCC